TAGGTTTGAAATTGGCAACAGTTTAACACTGCACCCTGGTTCTATTTAGGATGCCAGTTTGTGAAAGACCTCCTACCAGTATATATGGGACTTACCTCCTACATCCAAGTCAACTTTGTAGTTTATCAAATGGTTGTGCATGGTTCCAAGCGTGTGTTCCCCTACCCTGTTGCCATATGCATTACCACCCGCAGTGAAGAATGAAGAACTGATATATCCAGTGGCATGGACTTTGACTTCTATAGCACCATTTTGATAGAACACAAAATCCCAGACATAGTCATAGTTGATAAGGGTCGAAATGGACCTCACGACCAGAGCATACTTAGGAATCCCTCCATAATAGAAAGACCCCAAGTTAGAAAAATGACGACGCAGAGGCACACCCATGTCATGCTCAAAGATGCAGAAGGAGTTCTTGTTCAGTTTTGGCGTGTCTGAGTCTATCAAGTAATGTCGGTCCACATAAGTGGCCATGTAGGGGCAGTCCACACCTCGAACTAGCTCATAAGCAAACCTCCCAATGCCTAGACTGCCATCCATGTACCTGGTCACCATTCCTCCAGGACAGTTGGAGCCATAAATGGCAAGGGCTTCTTGCAGACTCAGCTCATAGACAATCCGCTGATTGTCAAATCGGATGTCAAAGAGACGTGGCCCTGTGTTTACATTCATCCCAAAGGTAAACGCCCACGATTGCCAGGAAACATGGCTGCCGTGTACCTTGTAGCGTATTCCATGGGGTTCAAACTGAAAAGGGCCTGGATGAGAAAGCTTGGAAGGCTTTGTGGAAGCAAAATCATGCTGCCTGGCCATCTTCACTCTGACCTCCTTCACCCGTCCCTCGTTGAACTCCTTCTTCAGCTGGGCCAGGTCCTGATAATACTGACCATTATAGAACACTTTCTCAATTGTCCACTCTGAGATGCTGAGACTGCTGTGGTTCACAAGCACCTCCAGACCAATAGGATGGATGTAGTAGCCACTGCCCACCACATTGTGGAACAGGACAAACCAGGTGGCTCTGTCACCGGACACAAACCCTCGAGGAGCTGTAGTCAGAGTAGCTAAGTTTGTCCCATTATATTCACAGCATGCTTGAAGGAGGCTGGAGACCTCTGCAAGCGCTTGGAAAATGAAAATATCAATATCTCTGTACTCTCTCTCCGTCACCGGCCTGCTGTGGTATGGCACCTTCTTGCCAAATTTCCTCAGGGTGATGTCTCGATGGTACGTTGGAAGCGGAAGAGGACCCACTATGTATTCTGTGATATTTGGATCTGGTTGGTTTCCAAAGTACACCACAGCCAATGCCTCTCGAGACGGTCGGTCCGTTCCACGGTTGAGGAAGCTAAGTACTTCTGTTTTAGTGGGGAGGTGTAGATCTAGATAGTAAATACAATTATCCGATGGTTTGGCATAAAAAGCATCTTCCAGGTGGACGCCAAGATGGTCTTTGAGGTATTCCACCACCCGGATCATCTCGTCTGCTGTCAGGTCAGCAAAGATCTTGCTCTGATCTGTGGAGATGTCCTCTGGAGGGTTCTGCGGCTCAGAGAGGACACACTTGGTGCTTTTCTCCTTTTTAGTCAGCAAAACGCACACTAAAGCAAAAATGGTAGCCAAGGCTAAGAGGAGAAGAACCACAACAGCTTTCATGTTCATCTTAGCAAAAGGCAGCAGGAGGAGCAGCGCAAGCCTTAAAAGCTGGTTGTGATTTTGCTTGCAGGAAGCCGCCTGGGTGGGTGGGAGAAAAGACGTTGGTCTGTTCAGAGTTAAGAGGAGGGAACCAAGCTAGGAGGAATGCTTGGGGATTTTCAGGGGACCATAAAAAGGCAGATTTTTCTCTTGGCTTTACTCTTTCCCTCCCCTTTTCCCCTCCCACCTACGTATCTGTGTCCCTACCAGTAGCCCTCTGTGAGTTGCTCCTGGCCAAGGCGGATGGGCAAAGCAATGGTTCCAACCAGAGAGACCAAACTGCAAGACCCAAAGAGAACACAAATTCTTCAGCAGAAGGAGCAGGCAGTCCTGCTGTAACTTGATGCCTCGCTAGCTGAGAAAGGAATGGTGCGGGTGCCTGGCTCACTTGGAAATTTTCAGTTCAGCAGTTCAATCAAACTTCTAATTTGTGGATGCTCGCTCCCTGAAATAAAGATTTAATCTTGCTCTTGTCTCTGCATTCAGTTCACCTTTGAGCCAATTCTGCTTTATCTTCCATAGGCAGGTCCTTATGGGCAGTTTTAGGCAAGTTTTTGTTTAAGGAGCCCAGTAGCATTCTACAACCCTTCCATATTTTCTGTTTAGCACATTTTCTCTGGTAAGGAAAAAAAATCGGAAGCAGTGGGGGAAAGACTGTCGGATTTTGAAGTTACAGTAAAATGAAGCAGGATAAAAATGGGAATAAAGCCACGTCTGAAACCACTTCATTTGCCTGCTTTTTTATTTATCATGTCAGGGGCAACCAGACCATTGTATTACATTTCTAACAGATCAAAACAAACAAACAGATAAAAAACACAAAGTTTGCAAACTTGGTAGTTGATTAAATATCCTTTGACCAGTATCTGGCCACTTGGAGTGCCTCTGGTGTTGCCGCAAGAAGGTCCTCCATTGTGCATGTAGCAGGGCTCAGGGTGCATTGCAGAAGGTGGCCAGTGGTTTCCTCTTCTCCACACTCGCATGTCGTGGACTCGACTTTGTGACATGCGAGTGTGCTATCCACTTTCATAGAATCAAAGAGTTGGAAGAGACCTCATGGGCCATCCAGTCCAAACCCCTGCCAAGAAGCAGGAATATTGCATTCAAATCACCCCTGACAGATGGCCATCATCCAGCCTCTGCTTAAAAGCTTCCAAAGAAGGAGCCTCCACCACACTCCGGGGCAGAGAGTTCCACTGCTGAACGGCTCTCACAGTCAGGAAGTTCTTCCTCATGTTCAGATGAAATCTCCTTTCTTGTAGTTTGAAGCCATTGTTCCGTGTCCTAGTCTCCAAGGAAGCAGAAAACAAGCTTGCTCCCTCCTCCCTGTGGCTTCCTCTCACATATTTATAAGTGGCTATCATATCTCCTCTCAGCCTTCTCTTCTTCAGGCTAAACATGCCCAGCTCCTTAAGCCGCTCCTCATAGGGCTTGTTCTCCAGACCCTTGATCATTTTAGTCGCCCTCCTCTGGACACATTCCCGCTTGTCAATATCTCTCTTCAATTGTGGTGCCCAGAATTGGACACAATATTCCAGGTGTGGTCTAACCAAAGCAGTAGGTTTGGGCGATCCAGTTCGTTAATTTCGTAATTCGTTATTGATTCATATTTAAATTAGCTTATGATCCAATATCGAGCCATGCAGAAATAGTGTGAGGAGTAATTAAGAATCGAAACAATTTTTTCCAATTTTCGTAATTATTTCGTAATTATTTTATAATTATTTTCGTATGTCTGGTGCAAGTTTTACAATCTCGCATTTACCCCACTTCCGGTCCCTTTGCTCTGCTGCTTCCCTCCTCTTTCCTCATGCTTCTTCTTGCCTCACTCTGGGCTGCACTGGGCTACCTTCCTTCCTTCCTTCTTTCTTCCTTCCTTCCTTCTTTCCTTCCTTCCTTCCTTCCTTCCAGCTGGCAAATCCCACATTCCCCCCTCCCTCCTCTTTCTCCTGGCATCCTTCTTGCCCAAAATTTCTCATTACTTTATTTTTCATACCCTCACTCTATGCCACAGCAATGCGTTGCCAGGTACAGCTAGTATATAATATAATATAATATAATATAATATAATATAATATAATATAATATAATATACAATTATAATATAATATATTATATAATAATATTATAATAATATAATATATATTATATATTATATTATATTATTATAATACTATTATATTATAGTATTGTATATTATATTATATTATTATATTATATATTATATTACTATATTATTATTATATTATATTATAATTGTATATTATAATATAATATATATAATATAATATATTATTATATTATATATATTATATTATATTATTATTATAATATAATATAATAATATAATAATAATATAATATAATATAGTTGTTGTTTGTTTTATCACACCAACAGTCAACAACAGAGGGAGAGGGAAGCTTCAGAAGTTCCCCCTGTCCCATTTGGAGGTTTTTTTAGCATATTGCGCAATTGCGTCCGCCATTAACGAATCAATTCGAAATTTACGAAATTTCGAAATTTTGAAATCTTAAATTTCAGAAGTCCTCAGAATTTCGAAACGCTAGCGCACCCTAGAAACGAAACGAGTTTAGAACCAATTTTTTTCTTGATCGCCCAAGCCTACAAAGCAGAATAGAGGGGTAGCATTACTTCCCTGGACTTAGACACTTTGAAAGAAAGCTACATCAATGGATATTACCTTTCTGTAAAATTCTCCTTTATGGAGCTATTTTCAAAGCAGAAACCCTGTTGTGTCCCCACAGAAACCTCCTCTGTTGGGTAATGTAAAAAAACAACAACAACTATCCAAATGTTATAAAAATGTCTCGAATAAGTGTTGGAAGTGTAACCACCAGATAGCTACTGTTATTATAAGAATTATGTTTTAAGAGGTAGCCCTGGTTATGTCACTAAGCATTATTTACGAAGCATCACCCACAGCTGCACAGAGTATGCCTCTCAGACCAAAAACATCAAGACAGAAAACACACAGATTTTTCAAGCAGTGCTCTCATCCTGAGATTCTTCTCACTCACCCTGAGAAATGGAGAAAAGAAGGCAAATGCTGAAATCTGGCAATCGTAGCAACACACATAGCATTGGAGTGTTGTGTAGTTTCCGGGCTGTATGACCATGTTCTAGCGGCATTTTCTCTTGATGTTTTACCTGAATCTGTGGTTGGTATCTTCAGATGATCCTTTGAAGATGCCACCACAGATGCAGGCAAAATGTTTGGAGAAAATGCTGCTAGAACATGGCCATACAGCCCAGAAATACATTACGCAAAACATTGCTGGCTTGGGAAAGGCCAGAAGGTTTGACCTCCTAGTGTTTATTCTAAATCAACACAAATCAGTTTCTATGGTTTCTGCCTGTCAGATGTGTTATTCCCTTCTGCGGTTGAAGCCACTCGCACACACATTCCAAGATATTTCACCAACAAAATTTTGAGCAGGTTCCCCCCCCCCACCCCCACCCAAAGTCCCTAACCCACTTGGTGCATATTTACATCACAGTTTATCCATGTCTGACTTGCACATTTTAAAGGAAAGCATGATACGATGGTCGAATGAAAAATAATGCCTCCACCTTTGTAACTCCTCAACAGATGGCAGTACTGGTATGCGGCAGGTTCTGGCTTGTTCAGGAGACTCTCCTCTACAGTTCCATTTTGGCAGGAAGCCTTAGCATTGAACGGTTGTGTTGTTAAAGTGCAAAGTATGGAACCCTGCACAGACGGTCGGTCAATGCGACTTAAGCAATGTGCAGTCATTGAATTCTTGACAGCAGAAGGTGCCACCCCAAAGGAGATTCATCAGAGAATACAAGTTGTTTATGGTGACCCTAGAGTCACACTGGAGGATATGAAGAACCTGGTTAGGGAAGGGGGTGAGTCTGAGTGAAAGAGGGTCTACCCTAGCAAACCTTTTGTATCATTACCCCAATACCCCCATGCATATGGGATATATTGAGCATGGTGATCAGATCATGATATGAATACACATAACAGTTTAAATAATGTACCAGTAAGGCCTTCTCGCGGACCACCATCAGAATTTCGGGGGGGGGGGCTGAAGCCCCCAAGCCCCCCCCCCCCCCGGTCTTTGGTACTCCCAAAGGTGGACAGCCCTCCTGGATAAGCATATGAAGGAAGGAAGCATCCAGTTTCAGGAACTACTTAATAATTCAAGGATGAGGAACTATGGCTGTCTTGATGCTTTCAGATCACAGATCGTGCCATATCTATCTATCTATCTATCTATCTATCCATCCATCCATCTAGTATCTATCTATTTGACTGTGTTGGCTAGGCTTTATGGGTCCTATTGTCCAATAACATCCCCATTCTTGTTATAATGCAATCTGGAGAGGCTGGAAGAATTCAGGGTCACTTTATATATGTCAACAACACAATGACTCCTCTAGAAATTCTCTGGTCCTTATCATACCGCAGTGTTATTCCATTACTGCAGTGGTTTGCTCCTGCTTTTGTCTCAGTCTCATCACATGATGTCGTGGCTCTCCCTGTGCTGTTGTACTATGCAATAACTGGGAATGTGATTCTTTTCATGCTGAAAATAACCATTTATGACCCACTCTCCATTATGAATCTGTCTAGTTTGTATATAGAAGTCCTATTCCACTTCCTTGTGAGAATGATCAGTTCAATGAATGTGGTCTAGTTGTTCCTCCCTTTCAAATTCCCAAGGAAATCTTCATCAGGGAAAGCTTAGATTATTTCCAGTGTTTGGGTGAGGAAGATAAGGCTTCCAGAGAGGACAGCTATGTTTTCTGTAAGCTACACTCTGTTTCAGACTTCTATCTCTCTCTCTATCTATCATCTATCTATCTATCTATCTATCTATCTATCTATCTATCTATCTATTCTATCTATCTATCATCTATCAAACTATCTATCTATCTATGGCAGTGGTTCCAAACCTGTGGTCTCCAAGAACTAAAATATGGTCCAGGCCCGTAGCCAGGATTTTGATTCGGGGGGGGGGGGGGGGGGGGGTTTGGGGGAAAGGGGGGCTAAACCTGGTTTGTATCATTACCCATACCCCCATGCTCATGGATATATTGACTACACCATTATATTGTAATATTACATGTAATATAAAATTTGGTATACAGGGGCGGCTCGTCCATTATGCGAAGTAAGCGGTCGCAGAACACTTTTTTTGCCAGGGGCACAGAGGCGCCTCTGTAAATGCCCCTCAACTGCCACTTGAGGAGCGCCCCCTCAGCTCACAACAGCCCTAGCAGTCCGGGGGGAGCCTCGGCTTTCTTGCCTCGCTGCCGGGCGATCCTCTTCCCAAAGGGGCCAGGCCCTTGAGCCTCGCCTAGCCCCTCTCGTTCCTGCTCCACCCGGCCACCGGGTGCGCGAGCAGAGCCGGCTCAATCGTTCTCCGCGTTCGATCCCTGCCCCATGAATGGCTCCCTTTCCCGATCCCCGGCGTTCCACCCGCCTCCTCTCCTCTCCCCAATCCGCGGGTGGGCCAAGGGGCGGAGCCGCTGCCCCTTTGGGTCCGGAGGCGTGTCTGAAGACCCCAGCGTGTGCACCAAAAGTCGCCTCTTCTCCTGACTTTCTCTTCAGCCATTGGGACCAAGAGAGAGAGAGAGAGAGAGCCCCTCCGGCTGGAGGTATCTCCCACCTCCGCTCCCTCCTTTGTTTTTGCGCCTACCTTCAGGAAAGGTGGGCATCTCCACCTCTGTCTCTCTCTTTCTCTCTCTCTCTCTCTCTCTTGGTCCCAATGGCTGAGGAGAAAGTCAGGAGAAGAGGTGACTTTTGGTGCACACGCCGGGGTCTTCAGGCACGCCTCCGGACCCAAAGCGGGCCAGGCAAGGGAGCAAGTGTAGTATAGTTCACCTACAATCAAAGAGCATTCTGAACAACACCAATGAAGGAATTGAACCAAATATGGCACACAGAACTCCCATGACGAACAGAAAATATATATCAGTGATTGGTGTGGGGGGGGGGGGCGCCAAAATACTGTTTGCTTACAGTTGAAAATTACCTAGGACCGCCTCTGTGCATCCGGATATTTTCCAAAGACTTTCACACTTCTTTCCTGTGGTAGAATCATAGAGTTGGAAGAGAGCTCATGGGCCATCCAGTCCAATCCCCTGCCAAGATGCAGGAAAATCACATCCAAAGCACCCCCAACAGATGGCCATCCAGACTCTGTTAAAAGCCTCTGAAGAAGGAGCCTCCACCACACCGAGGCAGAGAGTTCCACACATTACAGTATCACTTTTCAAAATTTAATTTAATTTTTTTGCTTATGGTGTAATAGCATTATGATTACATACTGTAATAGCTATATTACATCTTAATGAATGCAAATAACATGGTTTTTTAAAAACAAGGCGGCCTGAAACTACTTACTATCATGATAAATGCTTACGAAAAATAGAGGAGGGTCACCTCTGCAAGATCTTAGCACCGAGGGTGTACTGAAATGCTGCAACAGTATAATTTATTACAATGGACCCTTGGTATTTCTTAAGATTGGGTTCTATGACTCACTCTGGATATCAAAATCTCATTATATACATTTTTTTTGTCGTGTCAGGAGCGACTTGAGAAACTGCAAGTCGTTTCTGGTGTGAGAGAATTGGCCGTCTGCAAGGACGTTGCCCAGGGGACGCCAGGATGTTTTGATCTTTTACCATCCTTGTGGGAGGCTTCTCTCGTGTCCCCGCATGAGGAGCTGGAGCTGGTAGAGGGAGCTCATCCGCCTCTCCCCGGATTCGAACCTGCGACCTGTCGGGTCTTCAGTCCTGCCAGCACAGGGGTTTAACCCACTGCGCCACCGGGGGCTCCTCATTATATACAATGAAAGAGTGTCCCTTATGTAAAACAGCTAAATCAAGGTTGGTTTTCAAGAATGTTCACAATATTTTCAACCTAGGGATGGGGGTGTGAATCTGTGCATGCAGAATTTATGGACATGGAAGATCAATTGTATAGCTTACAAAGTTGTTCGAAGCAGTTTTGAACAGGACAACCTGGGAAAAAACTGACACTTCTGTTTTTCACAGGAGAAAGTAATCAAAAATGGCAAAAGATAGTTTGGTCTGTTTTCCTTCTTATGCCACTTCTCATTTTGGTTTGATATGTTGGATGAAAAAATTTGGGGATGGGATACGGAAAGTGGGGGAAGGTGGGAGGAGGGGGAGAAGGAAAAAAGGGGGGGGAAGAGGAAAAAAAGGGGGAAAAGGGGGGGGGGTAGGGAGGGGAGAGAAAAAAAATGAAGAGAAAGGAAAGGGGAGAAAGAAAAGTGGGGGGAGAGGCGGAAGAGGGGGAAGGGGTATGGTTTTGGTTATTATGAAAGAAATGGGAGTGAGGGTGACAAGGTATATTTGTTTAACAATGTTTATATGTGTAAGTAGTAGAAAAATGGTATTTGTGGGGGAATGAAAAAAGTAAAAGGTGTGGAAAAATGTCAAGTGTGGGAAGGGAGTTTTTTGTATATAACCTGGAATTGCTGGTTTTTGTTTTGTGTGTGTCAGGAGCGACTTGAGAAACTGCAAGTTGCTTCTGGTGTGACAGAATTGGCCGTCTTCAAGGACGTTGCCCAGGAGATGCCCGGATGATTTTGATGTTTTTATCATCCTTGTGGGAGGCTTCTCTCGTGTCCCTGCATGTGGAGCTGGAGCTGATAGAGGGAGCTCATCCGCCTCTCCCCGGATTCGAACCTGCGACCTGTTGGTCTTCAGTTTAACCCACTGTGCCACTGGGGGCTCCTATGGATATGTTGTAATGGTGTCACACAATAGTAGCATTACTACAACTATATATCTCTATCTATCTCTATCTATATATTTGAAGCAAGCCAATTATGCAGCATGAGGTGGTTCAAATTGGGATGGTGATAATAAATGCAGATAAAAAATTCAAAATCACGCTATTACATCACAAACCTGACAAGTGTGTGTTATAAAGAATCAATGAGCTATTATTGTAAGGAGAGAATGTTTCACGAACATGGCCACACAGCCCGAAAAACCTCCAACAACACAGTGATATATATATCTGTGGAATGGCTGGGGTGGGGCAAGGAGCTCTTCGCTGCTGGAGCTAGGTGTGAATGTTTCAACTGACCACCTTCATTAGCATTTGAAGGCCTGTCTGAGCCTGGGAAAATCTTTTGTTGAGAGGTGTTAAGATGTGCCTGGTTGTTTCCTCTCTGCTGTTTTGCTGTTGTAATTTTAGAGTTTTTAATACTGGTAGCCAGATTTTGTTCATTTTCATGGTCTCTTCCTTTCTGTTGAAATTGTCCACATGCTTGTGGATTTCAATGGCTTCTCTGTAGTCTGACATGGTGGTTGTTGGTGTGGTCCAGCATTTCTGTGTTCTCAAATAATATGCTGTGTCCAGGCTGGTTCATCAGATGCTCTGCTATGGCTGACTTCTCTGGTTGAAGTAGTCTGCAGTGCCTTTCATGTTCCTTGATTCGTGTTTGGGCGCTGCGTTTGGTGGTCCCTATGTAGACTTGTCCACAGCTGCATGGTATACGGTAGACTCCTGCAGAGGTGAGAGGATCCATCTTGTCCTTTGCTGAATGTAGCATTTGTTGGATTTTCTTGGTGGGTCTGTAGATAGTTTGTATGTTGTGTTTCCTCATCAGCTTCCCTATGCGGTCAGTGGTTCCCTTGATGTATGGCAAGAACACTTTTCCTCTGGGTGGATCTTTGTCTTTACTCTCATGGCTTGTTCTTGGTCTTGCAGCTCTTCTGATGTCTGAGGTGGAGTATCCATTGGCCTGTAGAGCCCAGTTAGGTGGTTCAGTTCATCTTGGAGGAGGTGGGGTTCGCAGATTCTTTTTGCACGGTCTGCCAAGGCTTTAATGGTGCTTCTTTTTTGACTTGGGTGATGGTTGGAGTTTTTATGTAGAATAGATATCTATCTGTGTGTGTGGGTTTTCTGTAGACGGTGTGACCCAATTGTTGATCTGGTTTGCGGATAACTAGGACATCTAGAAAAGGCAGTCTTCCTTCATTTTCTTTTTCCATTGTGAATTGTATTTTTGGGTGGAAGCTGTAAAGATGGTCCAGGAACCTGTTGTTCTGTAATTCCCACAACTCTTTACCACTGGTTTGGATAGGGCTGGTAACAATTGTAGGCCAAAAACACTTGGGAGGCCACAGTTGTCTATTCACATGCCCATTAGCTTCTCCAACAAGAAGACAAACACGAGCATTTAGGAGAAACAGATTAATGTGTGTCATGATGTTCATCTAAACCAGGGGTCCTCAAACTAAGGCCCGGGGGCCGGATACGGCCCGACAAAGTCATTTACCTGGCCTCACTCAGGGTCAACCTAAGTCTGAAATTACTTGAAAACACACAACAACAACAACAATCCTAACTCATCATCCAAAAGCAGGCTCACACTTCTCATTGAAATACTAATAAGTTTATATTGGTTAAAATTGCTCTTCGTTTTAATTATTGTATTGTTTTTAAGTGTTTTTTGCAATGTGCATAGGAATTCATTCATGATTTTTTTTTTCAAATTATAATCTGGCCCTCCAACAATTTGAGGGACTGTGACCTGGCCCTCTGTTTAAAAAGTTTGAGGACCGCTGATCTAAACAATCTAGTATGGAGAAAAAGAATTGCAGTTTCTTTACCAGTTCAAAACTGTGCACAATGCAAGCAAGTCAAGCTTAAGATTTGGGGAAAAACATCAGAACTAACAGTCCTTGTTACACTTAGATATCAGGGTGACCAGTTCCCACCACTCCAAACATAACCAGCCATCCAAACTCCTGAAGACCTCAGAGTCTTGTCAGATTTTGAAAACCTTCATACGTGAAAGGCTGGAGTTTGGGCACACACGTTGCTGTTTTTGGCAGGCACGCAAGATGGTTGACATCACAGGAAGTGAAGTCCTGCTCACTGGTGAAGAATACTCCATCGGGAGAATGTATAGAAGGGTCCTCATCGAAATAATTGTAAGGTCTCAGAAGGAAACCGACAGCGTTCCCAAGTGTCACAGTGTTGGGAATATCCTCAGCATGTGGGATGTGCAGGAATCCAGTGGTGATCCAGGCAACCAAGTCCTGTTACAGGAAAAACATAGAGCAAAGGACACAGTGATTATTTAATGCTCACAAGGCTCCTTCCCTTCTATATCTTGCACCACAATATTGGCTTAAAAACAGACTTCTGAAGGGAGCATACATTATTTATTTATTTATTTACAGTATTTATAAACAGCTTTTCTCACCCCGAGGGGGACTCAAAGCGGTTTTGTTCTGGAACGGCTGTTCCAAGGGCTCCAGTTTTGTGTTTTGCACTGAGTGTTTGTTCATAGTCCTAAGTTTCAGGGACTTTGCAGATAGGTGGCTTCCTTTGGCTGCATTCATAGGGCAAGCCACCTGTCAATTATAGTTAGGATCCCTGGTCCCGCCCCTCTCTGGGTTTTTTGGAGGGAAGGGGCCATTTTTCAGTTAGTCTCAGCAAAGGAAGTCTATGCAGAGGATGTATACAGACGTCCTCCTGTACAAAGGCTTCCCCTTAAGACTTCCCGGGGGAGAACAGTCTTAAGAACCTCTAAAGATTCCCAAAGATTCCGGGGAAACAGCCTTACAGCCCTGAGGAATTCCGGAGGGAATAACAGCTCTAACCATCAAGATCTCCAGCTAAGTGACTACAGGCCTGCTGGTACGTCTGCTCGGTTCTGAGATGCAGTTCAGCGGTAGTGGATTCAAATCAGTCAGGTTTAGGTTCACAGTAGCCTGGGAGGAGCTAGAAAGGGGAATTTTCTTTTGAACAAAGTTATTGAAGATAGTGCCTGTTCCCTGTGGACAAGTTTGAGAGAACTGGTTTCTTTACCAAGAAATTTTTTTTTTATGATCTTTATTAAGTTTTCAAAATACATTAAAAAGACGGGAGGAGAGGGGGAGGGGAGGGGGGTGAGGGTACAATTTCAACAGGTATCACATATACACCAGGACATTACATACCTCTACACACTACACTGACTATCACCCCTACACACTTGCATATAAGACAAAACAGGTTAAAAAAAGACTTCCTTTTTGTTTCCAAATGGTCATAAAACTGTGTCTTCTAATTTTCCTTAACTTCAGGGAGAGACCCCTGGTTAATTTTGGATCCTTCCATTTCTTTTTCTGCCATATGTGACTCTCCCCTTTTCAGATTTTATTTATGTATTTATTTATTTATTTAGTTTTCTTATAATCTGTCAATTTTACTCTTCTCATAATCCTCCAAACATGTCCAGTCTGTTTGTTTCACTGGACTACCAGAGCTGTTCCTCAGGAGATATGTCAATTTATCCATATCCCTTATATCTAATAGTTTTTCTAACCATTGATCTACAGTTGGGATCTGCTCCTCCTTCCAGTGTTTCGCAAATATTATACGTGCTGCAGTGATTATATATGTGAACAGGACGTCCTCATTATTATTTAGATTTAATTCGTTATCTGTAAGGCCTAGGATGAAGTACTCTGGATTGCGTGGAATCTTTCTTTTTAGGATTTTTTCGGTTTCTTCTTGTATCACCCGCCAGTATTTCGAAGTTTCTGGGCACGTCCACCACATGTGGAAATAGGTTCCTGTTTGTTTTTTACATTTCCAGCATACATTTGGATATTTTCTATACATTAAACTCAGCTTATGAGGGGTCATATACCACCTATGGAAGGTCTTCAACCAGTTCTCCTTTAATGCTACCGAGTATGTATATTTCATTTTCCTTCTCCAGATCTGTTGCCATTCCTGAATTCCAATCTGGTGTCCTATATTCCTTGCCCACACTACCATACAATTTTTAATTTCCTCCGTTTCCGTTTCCCAGTCCAATAATTGGTTATATATTTTAGAGATCACTTTCCTTTCTGTTTTTGTTATTTTGTCCCATATAGTCTCTTTCTCCTCAAAACCTATCCTTTCGTCTTGTTTAAATATCTCATTAGTCTGGAAATATTGCAGCCATGTGAAGTTTTTGTATTTTTTAGCCAGTTCTTCTTGTGATTTAAGTTTCCAAGTGTTGCTATTTTTATTTTTTTCCACTAAATCTTTATATGTGGGCCAGTGTTGCCATCCTAAGAGCCTCCTCTGGTTAGCCTCGATCGGTGAAATCCAGAGGGGGGTTTTTGTATAGAAGTATTTTCTATATTTGTCCCATACTTTTATCAGGGTGGACCTGATGAAACCGCCAAGTTTTTAGAGGCAGAGAGAGGGAAAAAGGGAGTCACTCTTCCGGTGGCGATGCTCCCTCGACGGGTCGACAGAGGGTGCGGGCGTGCTACCTGCACCAGAGCGGAATAACTGCCGCTCCACTAAGTCGGGCGGATAGCGTATTGCTGGCAGGGAGGGAGCCGAAGGCCCTTCATTTCCCTCTCACTAGCCTGCAGTCCGAGGTGGGAGGATGTAGGGAGGGGGGGGGAAAAAGGGGGGGGGGGGAAAGAAGGAGAGA